CAGCAAAGAATTAACTCTGGAGTTAATTCTTTTCCTTGGTCCCCTGGTTCCTCTTCTCCTGGTGAACGAGACTCTTTTCCATAGTAGGTCTTATGGATGTTTCCTTAGCAAAGGAGCAGAGAGGCAGGAGGCAGGGAAGCACCAGCAAAGAATTAACTCTGGAGTTAATTCTTTTTCTTGGTCCCCTGGTTCCTCTTCTCCTGGTGAACGAGACTCTTTTCCATAGTAGGTCTTATGGATGTTTCCTTAGCAAAGGAGCAGAGAGGCAGGAGGCAGGGAAGCACCAGCAAAGAATTAACTCTGGAGTTAATTCTTTTTCTTGGTCCCCTGGTTCCTCTTCTCCTGGTGAACGAGACTCTTTTCCATAGTAGGTCTTATGGATGTTTCCTTAGCAAAGGAGAAGAGAGGCAGGAGGCAGGGAAACACCAGCAAAGAATTAACTCTGGAGTTAATTCTTTTCCTTGGTCCCCTGGTTCCTCTTCTCCTGGTGAATGAAACTCTTTTCCATAGTGAGTCTTATGGATGTTTCCTTTAGCAAAGGAGAAGAGAGGCAGGAGGCAGGGAAACACCGGCTTCTGGGAGCTCAACCAGCTCCACTTCACACCATGGTAGGTGCTGTCTTCCCGGTTTCCGGGCAGATACTACCAATGCCATGCTGTTTCAAGCCAAAACTGCCATCCAAATACGTGCGAAAAAGAGTTAATTCTGGATTTAATTCTTTTCGAGGAGCCCTGAAAATGAATTAACTCTGGATTTACTTCTTTTAGATAGACAGAAATCGACTGATATATGTGGAGCCAGCAGGACCCTGTGGGAAAAGAGTTAATTCTTTTACATGGCAGCATTCAAGGAGGAATTAACTCCCAAGTCAATGCTTCTGATGGAACCCTTGATTGATGAGTAGCAAATCCTGAAGAATTAAGTCAAGAGTTAAAACTAATTAACTCTTGTATCTACTCTTTTTCCTCGACTCGAACTCCGCGCGGAGTGACCGGCCTAGGCGGAGCGTGACGATGACCTCCTCCCAAGCGCTGCACCACGGCAAGGACCCGAAGGTCGCCAGGCTGCAGCCTGCGAGCAGCAAGTGATGGGGTTTGTCGTATACCACTCGTTGAACCCACAAGCAGCAAGCTGACTCAGGGCTCGGTGCAGAAGGGCTCACGGCTGGCTCAGCAATCCATACTATACAACAAGTCTCTGATTTGGCTGCGTTGGGTGCGTCGTTTTGGCCGGGGTATGAAGTGACCCACGGCATCGAGGTACCGCACAAGTACTGCAGTTCCTCCCAGAAAATCCAAAGGTCTTCACACTGAGCTGCTCTTGGAGACCGGAACCTGATTTGGCGACGACCTGATGCACCCAGAAACCTCGCACGTCTTGCAATGGCCACAGCACTGATGAAGTCTAAAACATCCTTTGACCGCGGGGAATCGCGGGAATTTCAGAACAAACACATCACCGGACACAAACACAAAAGCTTAGTGGACCTGGAAGATGGATATTGTGGTCAACTGTGCTTCCTCTATACAAGTATCTATACAAGCTAGTACTCTGGGAGTGTTGACTGTTGACTATTGGCTTTTAACATTAGTCTGTGACACGTATGTTTACATACGGATTGGGTCGGTGCCCTGCGTTCAGGGCGTTGGTTCAACCACCATGAAGCACCAAACCCCAACCGGCGCCGCGGTCATCTGACCTGACCCCAGGCATTGGCCGCGATGAAAGATCTCCACCAGATCGCCGGCAGCGTAGCCTTGGCAGGTCTGTTTCTCTGTGTGCAAGTTCATTTCATTGGGGAATTTCTAGGAATTTCTGAAGCAACTTAATTAGAAGTTCAGAAGTGCCAGGTAGTTTCAAGCAACCTGTTCTACTACAGTAGCAACGTAAAGGGACCATTTTTTGATGTTGGACATAGAAACACCCAAGAACGTTTCCTGTATTTAGCCATGACCTGCTGCCCAGCGGCTCGTCCGGGCAGTCGCCACCAGCACAGGACCGCAGCCTGGCATCGGCAGCAGCTGCAGCCCCTGAGCCGCGCTCAGCTCATCAGCGCTGAGTTCGGTCCTGAAGTTTTTCCACCCGGACCATGACAATGCTCACTTTAACAAGATCTATTGCCACTTCTTTTTTTTTTGAACTTCAAGCAGCCTTCGGTCTAGCCGGTAGCCTTGATCTATTGCCAAAACAAATATCATGCAGTCATGCAATTTGAATTCTTTGTAGGGTCGGGCCGGGGCTTTAGATTCGAGTCAGAGTATTAAGCAGCATCAAACTTGTGAAGTGTTGGGATACATTGATTTGACTGCCGAAAGCCATCGACAGACTTCTTTTCCATCTCTGATCGGTGCCTCTCACTCAGATGATTATGTTCACCACAGCTACAATCTTCGAGACAACCGCCGGCACAAGGTCGCACACGGAGGGTTCCACCACCTGAACTGCCTGGGATTGCCTGGGAGATGAGCTTTGCTGCACCAAACCACGCTGATTTTCGCAGCCTGTCAGGTGGCTCAGTCCTTTTCGTGGTCTGGCTGGTGCTGCTCGGGGTGCCTTGGAGGCCGGGGAGGAGGACGAAGCCTTTGTCACCAAAGTCCAGGCCAGCCAGCAAGAGGGCCATGTGAGCCTTCAGAAAGCCTCAGAAAAGTGCGAAAAGGGCTCAACAGTGGCTGTGCTTGGTGTATTGTTATAAAGTCATTATTATTAGCCATATTATAGTATTAAACGTATTTAAAAGTAATAGTAGTATAGTAGTAGTAGTAGTAGTAGTAGTAGTAGTAGTAGTAGTAGTAGTA